AGGGCCGCTAACAACACTAAAATAGTGCAACATTATAAAAACATTACAAAAATTAATTAAAATCAAAATTGATGGCAACCATAAACTAAAGTTTTGTAAAGATTGCCAAAGGAGGGAGTCAGGCTGCGCCCTGACCAAAGGCCTGGTGGAACAACTCTGTCTTGCAGGCCTTGTAGAAAGATGTCAGGTCCCGCAGGGCCCTAGTCTCTTGTGACAGAGTGTTCCACCAGATTGGAGCCGCAGCCGAGAAAGCCCTGGCTCTAGTTGAGGCCAGCCTAACTTCTCTGTGGCCTGGGACCTTCAAGATGTTTTTATTTGAAGACTGTAAGTGTCTCTGTGGGGCATACCAGGAGAGGCGGTCCCGTAGGTACGAGGGTCCTGTGCCGTATAGGGCTTTGAAGGTTAAAACCAGCACCTTAAACCTGATCCTGTACTCCACCGGGAGCCAGTGCAGCTGGTATAGCACCGGATGAATGTGATCTTGCAGCGAAGACCCCGTCTCAAGGGCAGCCCCACGTAGAGCGAGTTACAATAATCCAGTCTGGAGGTGACCGTCGCGTGGATCACAGTGGCTAGGTCAGGGCGAGAGAGGTAAGGAGCCAACTGCTTAGCTTGGCAGAGATGAAAAAATGCCGCCTTTGTTATAGCTGCAATCTGCGCCTCCATGGAGAGGGAGGTATCGAAGATTACACCCAAACTCTTAACGGACGGTGCTGGCACTAATTGCACCCCCGCAAGAGATGGGAGTTGCCCCCTCAATCCCATATCGTTCTGTCCCAGCCAGAGGACCTCTGTCTTCGAAGGATTTAACTTCAACCGGCTCCCACGTAACCATCCAGCCACAGCTTCCAAGCATCTGATCAGTGCGTCTGGGGCCAAGTCAGGATGGCCATCCATCAACAGATAGAGTTGGGTGTCATCAGCATACTGATGGCAACCCAGCCCAAAACTCCGGACAAGCTGGGCGAGGGGGCGCAAAAAGATGTTAAAAAGCATCGGGGAGAGTATCGCACCCTGGGGCACTCCACACACCAAGGAGTGGCGGGATGACAATTCCCCCCCAAGCGCCACCCTCTGTCCCCGACCAGAGAGAAACGAGCGCAGCCATTGAAGGACTGTGCCCTGGATCCCCACGTCGGCAAGGCGGTGGTCCAGGAGTTCGTGATCGACCATGTCGAAGGCTGCTGACAGGTCTAGAAGAATCAGCAGCCCCGACCCGCCTCGATCCAGCTGCCTGCGGAGATCATCTGTTAGGGTGACCAGAGCCGTCTCGGTCCCATGACCAGCGCGGAAGCTGGACTGGAATGGCTCCAGAGCCGATGTTTCATCCAGAAACCTACCAAGCTGTTCAGCAACCGCTCTCTCAATCACCTTACCCAGGAATGGAAGATTCGAAACCGGGTGGACTTTTCTGTACATAAGTTTCCTGATATATGCATTTCTTTTTTGGGGGTTGGAGAATTGCATCACAAAATCCACAGAAGTGCAGATTTTGAAGGATAGCTGTGTCTCACTTTGCATATTGGTCCAGGAAAGGGTGACTTTGGTAGGCTGGCATTAAAATGTGAACGGAGCTATCTTCTCCCTCATCCTGGGCTTAAACTAGTTTAATAAGCTTTCTCTCTGGCCAAGGAACCCTGGGGATTTTAAGTCAAGGAAGAGGACTGAGGGATTTCCTGACAGAAAAAACACTGACTGGCATGATGTTAACAGAAATGTGGGACTGGCTCTGCGGAACTCCCTCCCAAGTGAGACCAGACAGGTACCCTCCCTGTTGAAGTTTTGATTCCTTGCCCCTTAAATTGGGAGGGTTGGGGTGCCCCTAAAACAGATTTGGAGGTGGAAAGGGAGAGAAGAAGGGAGAAAGTCCTCTTGTGCCAGCAGACCTTGTTTTGCTCATGCATACCCGGCTGAATGTTACACTGAATTCCACCCTGTGTGTTTACTTGTGGTTGGCTTGTTTTAAACACCGTATTATTTGATTGATGATCAGCCTTAATTGATTGTTCTGTAAACGGCTTTGTTACCATCTGTTCAGGCAAACAAGCAAGCAACAAATAAACAAAATGCAGCTAGCTTCTACTCCCTAATTTATGTGGCTGTCTGGTAACACAGATATCCTCCAACAAGAAGCCATTGTAACAACTTGAGTTCAACCTGTCTGATTGCCTGGGAAAATAAGGGTCAGTTGTAATGTGTATCCGAAAACAAAACACATCCATATTTAGCACAAGAAAACATAGGATTATGAAATGAATTTGACAAGAGAAACCTGGGAACTCAACAAATCCTTACTCTTTCCACAGTAAATAGAATCCCAACGTTAGAAACTGGCTGTGGTTATCTCTGCATGGCATGCTAGCTTGGGCTTTTACAGTGGTACCTCTGGTTACGTGCTTAATTTGTTCTGGAGGTCCATTCTTAACCTGAAACTGTTCTTAACCTGAAGCACCACTTTAGCTAATGGGGCCTTTTGCTGCCACTTTGCCGCCACTGCACAATTTCTGTTCTCATCCTGAAGTAAAGTTCTTAACCCGAGGTACTATTTCTGGGTTAGCGGAGTCTGTAACCTGAAGCGTATGTAACTTGAAGCGTATGTAACCCGAGGTACCACTGTATAGATTATCTATCCAAAAGAGCAGAAGATGCACGGCATCCTTCTTTTCCAAATTCTCTATGGCACTGAAGTTCACAAACATAAATTGCAGACCAGCAAATTAGATGTGAACAATGAAAGCTGGAGTCTAATAGGCAATAAGAACAATAAGCTCATGTGAACGAGCTCTGCAGGAATGGTGGATTCCTCAGGATTGCTGGGGGCACCAGGGTTTGCTGGGACAGTTCCTCAGGATTATGGTTTGGCCACAACTGAATCGTGATGATACTGGCACATGGGCCGACCAGGGGCCCAACTAATGACTGAACACTTTTGCGCACCATTTACAGTGACTCCTCCTTTCATGGATACAGTTAGATGTGGCTAAATGTCATTCTAGCTATACAGCACCTCCAGGATCAGAGAAGCTTGCCTCCAAATGCCCGTTGCTAGGGAACAACAGTTGGATGCATGGATGTCGAATGCGTCTTGGTTGGTGACTATAGGACAGAGGATGCTGGACCAAACAGGTCACCTGGGGGGGAGGGGAATTCTTCTTAGGTTCCCCAAATCACCAAACCTCTCCTTTCGATGCTGATCGATATTTTCATGTGAACTTTCTAATTTATAGTGTCCAGCTACATTATGGAGAAAAGCCCCTGTACAACTGAACAGCATCAACACAGCTTCTTACTCCTTCCCAGTGTTCCCGCCTCCCAGAATTTGCAACCATCTTACTTTCAGGAGCTCCTGACGAACACAGTCTCTCTCTCTCTCTCTTTTTAAGGGTATGATAGTGCCGGCTAGAGAGCGCTCATAATAACCTCTCTCGAAATGTGTTTCCACTATCTCATGAAGCTCAAAACACTTTCTGACTTCACAGGCTATCATGGGATACCCTCTTATCTGGGTCAGTGGAACTCAAAGACCTGCTGGGCAGATTAGGGTAGGAGGGGGATGTGATAAATGTCCTCCTCTTGCACATGGATTTTTTTTTTCTTTTTTAAAAAAGCATTGGTTGGAAGCTCATCTACTTACAGAACAGGATTGATCTGGAACAGAGGCAACTCATAACTCAAGAGCCATCTCATTCCAAAGGGAAGAAACAGAAAATTGTGGCTTTTGGGGAAAAGAGGGCTTGAGAATCAGCGGTGCAAATAGTCCAGACATCTGTTTTGCTAAAGCAAACAAACAAAGGATCAGACGGAGGACTAGCAAAGGGGAAGCAAGTTACACAAAAAGCGCTGACTCCAAATAAACAAGGCAGAACGCCACACATAAGCCCCTTCAGCATTTCACTGGGTAGAATCAATAGGATTCGCTCCACCCTGCTCATCTTTTTACTGCTCACACGCAGGTTTTTTTGGTGACAGTATTGATCTCTTTCATTTCTATAAATAAACATTTTTATTTTTTTTTAAAAAGGGGGCAGTCATTAATTTGGGGACTGATGATGCCAAACAGCTGACTTCGCTTCAAGGTGCTTAAAACGATTGAAAAGGAAGCTTTGGTAGCAATAAGATGGTTTTGTCATAATAGGTACTTAGAGAGATGTTTGGAACCTACTCTTAACCACAAACTGAAAAGATATTTTCCTCTTCAAGTTCATCCCGGATGACTCCTAATAATATTTCAATTTGGTGTTGCTGGAGGAACTGAGCATTGCAAAGCTGGGAGCAGCATCAGCCTCCTTCTTTGTCCAGAATGGGATCTGAAAAGGAGAGTCAGGACTCCACCCAGTACCAAAAGCAACAGGGGAATACCATAATTAATTCCTGAACTAGCAGGAATATAAACTGATTGCCTTACTCACTTTCTCTCTCCCTCTCTGCTGGCTTCTCAGCTGGCTTCTCTGCAGAGATTAAATCTAGTCCCAACTCATTTCCTAAGGATTTAAAGTTGGATTTCAGTAGGAGCTGAGAAAAAGACACTCCTCAGGTGTTTTGTTTTGTTTTTTGCCTATGATTTCCTGTACTAATCAGTCCAGCTCTTTGTGGGAATCTACTTGTGTTGCCTTTTCCTCAGAGTAAAATTTACCGCCTCTTACATATTGCTGGCATCCGTCTGTCTCTGGAGACGATGGAGGAATGCACCTTTGGGGGGTGAAGTCAAACTGTTGGGAAGTTGCAGCACCTACTATGGCTGTAGAGACCGACGCAGGAGAGACATGTTTTGTTGCAGCTGGTTTGCGAGTTGAAGCAGGTTGTGAGTCTGGTAGAACGTGGATGATCTAAGAGGTGAGACCTCTTGTTCTGAAATTTTCTGTGCAAAAACAAAAGTATCCTCCCCATAATGTCATATCATAAGTAATACTGCTCTTACCAACACCCTTCCTTTAGCAAAATATTTGTTTTTTCATTCTCTTATGAATAAAAAAGTGCTAATGGAATTCCATGGGACAACAGACAGGGAGCTCAGTCGGTAGAGCCCGAGGTGCTTAATCTCAGTGCCATGGGTTCAAGCCTCACCTTGGGCAAAAGATTCCTGCATTGCGTGGGGTTGGACTAGATGACCCTCGTGGTCCCTTCCAACTCCACAACTCTGTGATTCTGTGAACGACGCCAAAGCAAAGTTTTCTGGCATAACCATGAGAACAACACAGAGTTGGTTACAAAACTATCTTCAGATACCTTGCTGTCAGGGCTAGGGCAATGTTGGAGACCACCTCCCCATCCTGACCCTTCCATGAAGGAGGAAGAGGAAGACAGTATAGATTTACAACAGGGGTTTTGAGGAAGGTCACAGCTCAGAGGCAGATGAGGGGAAGAGTTGGGAAATAATGGGAGAGGTGGAGGAGGGGGCAGAAGCAGAGCGGCAGGTGGCTGACATGGTGTTATTAGAAAGTATCCCAGATCCTCCATCTCCCAGAGCTCAGCGAGCCTTAAAAGTAGGAGAGCAAAGAGCTCGAAGGCAGAGGGCATGTAGCAGCCGCCGCCGTAGAAGTGACGAATGAGGAAGTGGGAGAGATGGGTGTGTGTGGAGATTCACTCGGGATAACACAATTATCCAAGAGGCTGGGTTCTATAGCCTCTCTCTGTAAATACTGAAATAAAACAGGACGGTAAGAAACCTTTCCTTGTCTTTATACTTTCCTGGGCAACCAGCTGGGAGCTGATGACAGCACCCTGAAACTTGCTTACCTCCCCACCCCCAAGTAAAAGCACCACAAAATAATGACAATTATGCCGGGGATAAGCATGTATACATTGTAGTTGATCAGACCTTTATTTGGATCTCATGGTCATTTTGCAAATGAGGGCTTTTCTGCCCAGACCAAATCTCAGAATGAATTCCACCTTGCCCAAGACCTCGGAGGAAACATGAGCAACAGAAACATACTTTCCAATTGTCATTTTAGAGGACTGGAATGAGAACAGTTGATTGAAACCCAAAGGGCCCAGCTGAGGAGAAGAGTTTGAAGGTCCTTTTGGCTGGTCTGTGCCCCAAGGTGTCACTACGGACAGTCAGGCCAACAATGGTGACCGTGGAATGGAAGCAAGTATGGCAAAGACTTGTGGGTATACCCCTCAAACACAAACAAAATGGCAGCCATTATATTGGTTACCCAGTGCTTACCCTCATCTTTGGGTAATGGTAATACCTGAGAACACATTTAGTTTCTAGGCCTATATAACAATACATAACAGCTCACATATTTTTTCGTTACTGGAAATCATCTTGGAATTTTTTTTTATTTTTTTAAATCACCACAAAACAGAAGAGGAAGCTTATGAGGAAGATCTAACTTCAAACTGTGCTTTAAAATTCCCCTGGTGTTCCTCAGGAGGTTAATGAGTTGGGTCAACAATGGCAGGCACAATTTCCTGAAAAACAGCTTAGCTGCCACCACCACTCAGCTTCCCCTATTGGGTGTGCTTCCTCAAATCACAAGGGCCCATGATGAGACCTAACAGGCCCAGCCAGTGCCCCGCATGGACTGAGAACATGCACCATTGTTGCAACACACAAGGATTTAATGGTAGGTGTCTTCAGCACGCAAGTCAGCATGTAAAGAGTTCCTCAAGATACATAATAGGAAAATCGCTGCAGGGAGATGACAGCTAGAGAACTATGGGCGGTATTCGATTAAATTTGGTCCATTAATTTAAATGGGACTACTCTGTGCAAAACTTAGCTAAATATCACCCGAAGTTCAGCGAGGGGCGTGGCAGATGTTGACATGTTGGAAAGGGTCCAGAGAGGAGCTTCACTAAGGGGAAATCTTGCAAAGGATGTTCTCTGCATGTTGAGCCTGCAAATGCCTTTTCTCTCCTTTTTGTAATTCTTTCATACAGGATTCAGAAACCAGCCCATCTAACCCTGAGGGAAAAGGACGACAGATCAGGGTGGTCGATTAATTAAATTCCTGATGCTGGAGACAAACAATGAAGGAGGCCTTCACACCCTGAGCTTCTAGAGGTGACTGGCTGGTCAGAGTTAGAAACCAAATGCTGGACCAAAGATGGGTCTTTGGGTCTGATCAGGACTCCTCCTCCTCCTCCTCCTCCTCTTCTTCTTTTACATTAACACTTTATTGAGAGTCTACACATGGATTACCAAGGGAGTCTGATAATGCTCGAAGGCTGTACACGCAACGAACAGCTGCTGGTGGAAGAGGAAAGTGCTGAGAGAGTGCGCAAGGAAACCAGTTAGTTCCCCTCAGCACACACAGAAGTAGGTTCATCACTAGTCAATAATAATCTGAGGCACTGGTTGTAGACATGGTCCCATACAGGAGTTAGTATCAGCGACTGTATTGTATAATACAAAGGGCAATTGATTATTTTTATGGAAGAGCCAAGTTCAACCACATTGTCCCGGGGTGGTAGTCAACTGCCTTTTACTCACGACTAGACTCACTGAACTTAATGGACCCAGCGTTCATTCGTTTCAGTGGGTTGACCCTGAGTAAAACCTGTGGTCTTCAACTACTTCTGCAAAACACACCTGTCCCCTTCCTAGGGAACTTTCATGTCATGTTTTTACACCTCTAAACCAGCAGCTGCTGTCAAGCTCAGCAGACAGGAACAATGCCACAGCACCAGAAAAGCAGTCGGAATTGGCTTGAAATACCAGGATGTGAACTTTCTGCATGGACATCACAAAGCATTGCAACCCACCCCCTCCCACAACAATGCAGATGCTTGGGACATGATTTTTATTCAGAAAGACTCTTTCCTCCAGGTACAGAACACACTAAATCATCTGTGTGGGAAATCACAAATGAAGAACCTAATAACAGAAATATGGTCAAGCTTCAAGGGCCAGATTGAGAAAACGTTGGCAATGTGATACAAGTGCTTGACCAGGACAAAGTGAGATGCTTACTAAATCCATATGGGTTTTGATTTCTTCCTCAAAGCAGGTCAGCCATAGCAATTTCACGCAACCGCCGTAAGGCTATGCTGAGATGGCCAGTCTTGATTTAGCAAATGCGTAGACGCTGAGTTTCTTGGGTTCTTTTGTGAAGGCTGCCCAGTCCACAAGTCATTGCTGCATCTGGGCTGCCAATGGCAAGTGATTACAAGTGTAAATCGCAAGTGATCACAAGAAGGAAAAGAGGTGAGGAGTTCAAGATCCATGTGTGCTCACAGAACAGCTGGTTTCTTAAGGTGCAACTTGTAGGATTGACAAGGTTCAACGTATGAATTACATGGAAGTTCATATATATTCAAAGTCACTTGGCATGTGTAACAGTCTATCAGGTGGGAGAAAGAGAGATCAATTGCAGAGTTCCTATCTCTTGATTTAGGGTCTAGGAGGATCTAGACCTTTGGGTTTCCTATGGATGCTACCATTATCTTTCACTACTGAAAGTTTTGTTTCCAATAGGAAACGTGATGGAAAGCACTTTTATGGATGGAAATTAAGCCGCTCTGCTTTGGCAACCTAGAAAGCGAACGGTGCTGAGCTAAGTTCAGTGCAGATGCAACAGTCTCGAGCCAGCTACAGTTATGTTGAAAGTAAACAGTTTTGCTAGTAAGACAGCATTTTATGACAGCAAGAGGCTTAAGCTGAAAAAGGGACAGCTCTGATTCAAAACAGAACATAGTTCAATAGATAGCTCCTTGACACTCTATTGAAGAATTCCAAAATATCTGTGGCCTTTGGGATTTTGGCTTACTCTACTGCCAGTGAGTTATCAGGCTAACCCAAGAGAGATCTGAGGACAATATGGCACATATGATGGAAGGAAGGTGTGAAGCCCAGGGACTGAGCTGGTCAAAGGAAGAAAATGTCACTGGACTGACCTGCTCAGGAACACATTTGCGAAAGCTCTGCTTTACTGAAAGCTTCAGTCCTCCAAAGAGACTTGGAAGTGATTGGTGGTTAATTTTACCATCCTATAAATAACTGCAGTCTTCATTCCTAAACTTGCAACATCATAATCTGCAAAATTTCTCCATGTACCTAAAAACAAAAAGGGTAAGGTAGTCATTTCCCTGTCCCCCAAGTATTCTTACTGTTGACCATCGGCACAAATTGCTTCTAATGGTGAAGACAGACATAACGTTTAAACAGTGGTCTCAAGAACTTCCTCGCCTACAAGTCAAGCCCTGGATCAAGCAATTAGTCCTGTTTCCAAAGAGTGTGGGGTTGTTGTTGTTTTTTTTGGGGGGATATATTTTATTATAAAATAGCATATGTAAGTGTATTCATCTCTAGGTTCACCTTTTCCCATTTTTCTCCTGTTAAAAACTGGCGAGCATCCAGTTTCCAGGGAGAAAAAGCGGGCGGTCAGGTGGTGTTCATGGCGTTCCATGCGCTAGCCAATCAGTACTCTGTACAGCTGGCTTTTGCTGCAGATGAATGCAGGTTTTCCAGAGGTCACCCTGGAAACAATGCATATATTTTGAAATAAAAACCCCATAAGGATAAAAAGAAAGGAAAAGATGCTTTCACCCAGTGTGATGAGGATGCTTCGGGAATTGCCTCACTGTTTTTACAATGATACAGCTGTCTTCATCATCAAAAACAAGGGGTTCTTGCAACGAGAGAGCAATCTTTTTTATCTGAGATTATTTTCTTCCCCTCTATTATTGAACATGCATCAAAACAACAGAGTCTTACTTGTCATTTTTTTTGGGGGGTGGTGGTAGTGGGAGGAATTAGTGCAGCAAAGAAATGTACGTGCTCTCATTCTACTACTTCTATAAGTAAAGTGTCAAAATAGCCTAACAACATCCAGACAAGTTACCAGACCAAACTTGCAGGAATCGATGAAGGATGCAAATCATGAGCTAGACTTAAGGTACAATCCTAGTGAAAGGGAGATCCATGAAACTCATTTTTAACAGATGTGTCCTCAGAAAGTTTCCCACAGCACAACCAAATCCGTGAGAACATCTGTGTGGAGATCACGTATGGAATGCCGATACCATAGGATGGAATTTACCATTCAGCTGCATCACTAACACATACAGGATATGCCGACATTCCTATCAGGGAGCAAGGATAATTGTGAACATTTCCAGTGAGTTCGCAGAGATGGAACATCCCGCCCAACCCATCCCATAAACATCATGCCGTCTGCATACATAATATAATCCAGTATTGTCATGCTAAAGAACCGCCCCTCCCCCCCAAAAAAACCTAAAACGGAATCCCCAAACCCAGAACTTTTAGTGAAGGTCAGAGAGTTCCCTGATGGGAACATGGAGTTTATGCACAGTGATGAGTATCAGAAGCAGGTTTTCCAGCATAAAGCGTCCACCAATGACAAGCCAGAGAAAGTCAGCACCATTATTTCAATCCCCCGAGCAAACGAAGATTCTTCATGTTTTATCCCGCTGTCGAGACGGGTTGGGCTTTGGCTACTCCTCCAGTTCTCGAGAGTGGTCTTCTTTTGGCAGTGCCATCGCTTCATGCCGTATTTCTGTTTGATTTCTCGTGGAGAAAAAAGTTCATTTCGGAATCATCTGGCAGGGCGGCAGCTTCAGAGGCTGGCAACGGTTTACGAAGAGCTCTCTGACGAGGCTGTTAAAAACAACAACAACAGACAGGCCGTAAGTAGATGCTTAGCTCAAAGAGAGGCAATTACAACACATCGCGGCTGAAACAAAAGGTCAAGGCTACATTACACAAATCACACAACTGCTAAAGCAAAGCGTGCCCAGGCATATATTTGCTTTATTTTATTTTCCTGCATTTGCATTCCACCTGCCTGGAATCCAAGGCAGTACACACGAGGCAGCCAGGAGGTCTCCCATCAACTCACTCACTGACCAGACCCAGACCTGCTGAGCATCAGCAAACTGGAGCCCTCTCATGTGCCTTCAGATAATCACCTGGGACCATTTCCCCCCTGCATCCAACCCTTCCTACCGAGCACAATTCAAAGTGTTGGTGCTGACCTTTAAAGCCCTAAATGGCCTCGGTCCAGTATACCTGAAGGAGCACCTCCACCCCCATTGTTCTGCCCGGATACTGAGGTCCAGTGCCGAGGGCCTTCTGGCGGTTCCCTCACTGCGAGAAGCCAAGTTACAGGGAACCAGGCAGAGGGCCTTCTCGGTGGTGGCACCCGCCCTGTGGAACGCCCTCCCACCAGATGTCAAAGAGAAGAACAACTACCAGACTTTTAGAAGACACCTGAAGGCAGCCCTGTTTAGGGAAGCTTTTAATGTTTAACAGACTACTATATTTTAATACTTTGTTGAAAGCCAAATGGGCGGGGTATAAATGAATTATTATTATTATTATTATTATTATTACATTGTACCCCAAAGTTAGTTGATGGCCACATTTGGCTGGGGAGCAGCCACAACTCAGTCGTGGAGAATCTGCCTTGCATGCAGAAGGTCAATCGCAGGCATCCGCAGGTGAGGCATTTAGCCAGTTCAATGGAAACCATACGACTTAAAAGTCAAAAAGTGCACCCAACTTTGATCAAGTCAAAAGTCAAAGTGCACTTAAGAGTCAAAAAAGTGCACCAGGCAAAAGCAAGCACTTGAAAAAAACCCAACCATCTTTGGGAACTCTCACCTGAAGCAATTATTAAAGCCATTATCAGTTGGTGACTCATATAAGTTTTAATCTGCTAATTAGTGGACCAAATATGCACACTTAGCATTCCAGATGCTGGACTCCAACTCCCACCAGCCCCAGCCAGCCTAGCTGATGGCCAGCAATGATGGGGGTTGTAGTCCAGCGACATTTTGGAGGTCCAGTTTCCCTATTCCGGGGCCATGCAGTGCACATGCATAACTTAACCACCTCCCTCAGGAACGTCCCACCACCAAAGCAACTGCTTTAGTCATATGCTAAGTATGCATATTTGGTCTACTAATTAGCAGATTAAAACTTACATGAGTCATCAACTGATAATTGCTTCAACAGGGTACTAGCCCAATCTTTTTTCTTTTTAGCTTTTATGAACTCTGCAGCCGGGATGCTTCTTCTCCAAAGAAGATCTGCTCTAGGCCTGTCGCCAGCACAACCTCTGCTTTCAAAGGGATTTGCTGTCCCTGCTGGGTTGGATAAGGATCTGCCTTTCTCCAGCCAGAAGGGAAATCCAGGATTGTTTGTGTGAGAGAATGAGTGTGAGAGAGAGAAGGTCAGTAGCAGAGCTTCTGCTCTGCGTACAGAAGTTCCCAAGTTCACCCTCCGGCCACCTCATGAGAAGAGAAGACTCCCTGGAAAAGACCCTGATGTTGGGAAAGATTGAGGGCACAAGGAGAAGGGGACGACAGAGGGCAAGATGGTTGGACAGTGTTCGCGAAGCTACCAACATGAGCCTGACCAAACTGCGGGAGGCAGTGGAAGACAGAAGTGCCTGGTGTGCTCTGGTCCATGGGGTCATGAAGAGTCGGACACAACTAAACGACTAAACAACAACAACATTTTGAGCATTTTATTGGTAACTCTGTTTTCTCTGTGGTTCCTTTTCTTGTGAAGGACAGCCCAACTTTCCCCCCTTGTGTTTATATGGAAGCTTAAAAAGCTCAACTCACAAGTTGTGTACACTTGGATAAGAAGCGAAACTGCGAATTCACAGGATGAATTCTTGCAGGGTTGATCTTTAATGAAGGACTAACGCTATCACAGCAAAATCTGGTGATAAATCCCTGATCAGGACACAATGGAGCATGGAGTATCCCAGCTCTTAATGAGACACTGCTCAGGAAAAACTGATTTGGCCAAAGAATATCAAGCACCCCCTTCAATATCAAGACTTTTCATGTCTTCTGGAAGGAGCTCTGTCTTAGAATAATCTGCAAAATGTGTGTAGAATTTTCAACAACATATAAGGATCCCAACTGATGAGGAACAAGCAAGTTTAATGCTCATCCAGAGTGCCAATATTCTGAGTAGTTGGCTTGCTACGTCTTGACGCTTATTCTTATTTTTACAAAGCTCAGCGAAGAGGCATGCTATCAACGAAGAGGCATGCTATTAATTGGCAGGCATTTTAGATGATGGCCGAAGAGAGGGAAGCTGCCAATTCATAGCAGCACCTTAAACAGGGACCCTTCACTTTAATCCTGCAAACGCCCCCATGTCCTGCCCCAAAAAAAGAAAAGCCCCCAACGACTTGTAATTAGACACCTTGCGTATAGGTGTTCTACATGTACTCGACTCCTGATAAAAGATCGCTTATAAATAAAATATACACCAGAAGAGCCATGGCTCGCAGCCAGCAAACAGATGCTCCACAAGAGAATTACTGTTGCAAGCTAGCGTATTTTTGCCAAGAAGCTACGGATGAGACAGGGCAAAGGCAAGGATGGCTCCGGGTTCCAGTAATTTCCCGTGGGTCACATTAAGGTTAAGGCTGCATTTGATTCTGATTTTCACTGAGCAGTGGAATGTCAGGGGGAGTTTACTGCTCTAAGCTTCCTGTATTGAGGTCACATTGCCGGCAAATAGAATTTCCAAGCCTGGCCCCCTGTGTACAAATCCGGACATTGCTGCATGTATTTTTTTTATTTATTGCACAACGTTCTAACAAAGCAATCCACTGATAAGTGGCATCGACGGTACACCAGTTCAAAGGTGGTTTTGAACAGCTCAGCTACTTGATGGGAAAAGCAGTATGAAAACGAAACAACAAGAGCCTCTGGTTCATTCTGTCCTCCAGGCCGGATCAAGGATGGAGGGGTTTCGGGTGCAGTAATAATCAGGAACTGCGTAGGCAACGCTTTAAAATTCACACTCATGCACGCGTCAAAGTCTCCGCCAAACTAACTGGGAGTTCTATTTTAAAAATCCAAATTCCGCCAACGTATAAATCATGCAAATGGATGAACTTTGCATATGCCTGCTTATTTTCTGTAATTTGATCTGCTCCCATTCACCACAGAACTGGGCAAAGAGCAATGCCAGGCCTTGCCCCCTGACCTGCGGAGATCTTATCCAGCCTCCCCTCCGGATTCTGAAATTTCTTCAAGCGCTGGCCAGGCACTTTCAAGCATATCTCCACAATAATAAGGGGCCATAAAGCTGCTCTACATTGTTTTAAAAAGAAAGTCGAGGTCCTTAGGAACCTGAAATCGATGGCTAATGTCACATTTGAAGGGCTTTTCTGCACTTCCAAAGAACTGCAGCAACGTTTTCACAGCTGGGCCTATAGCCAGGAAGTTTTGTACAGGAAGTGACATGGCTCAGTGTTGGAGCATCTCCTTTGCATGCAGAAGGTCCCAGGTTCGATCCTTGCCATCTCTCGGAAGGACTGGGAATGTCCCCTGCCTGAAACCCTGGACAAAAGATCCAATCACCTGAAATTACGCCTAAGCTTTGGTTTTGTCCAGATTTCAAAATGTCACCTGTTTTCAAACCAAAGCGAGGACACTTTAAAAATAAAAATAATTTTTTATAAATATTTTCTTGGTTTATAAAAGTACATGCCTTGTCTCTTTTTTCCAGGTTGTAAAGTTTCTTACAAATCAGTTACATTTGTAGTGAGACATTAGTGCTGAGTACAGTGGTACCTCGGGTTAAGAACTTAAATCGTTCTGGAGGTCCGTTCTTAACCTGAAACTGTTCTTAACCTGAAGCACCACTTTAGCTAATGGGGCCTCCCACTGCTGCCGTGCCGCCCCCGCCCGATTTCTGTTCTCATCCTGAAGCAAAGTTCTTAACCCCAGGTACTATTTCTGGGTTAGCGGAGTCTGTAACCTGAAGCATCTGTAACTCGAGGTACCACTGTACAGTATAAGGTTGGGGAAGAAGTGGGGGGGGGGAGAGGAGGGGGGTAGGGTGAGGCATGGGGACTAGCCAGGCAGCGCTGTTGGTGCTGGCAGTCCTTAGGGGCTCATCAGTTTGCCTCACCGGAAGTCCAGGACACTTTTGTTTTGAATGAGTACGATATCAAATCTTCTTCTTCTTCTTCTTCTTCTTCTTCTTCTTCTTCTTCTTCTTCTTCTTCTTCTTCTTCTTCTTTTAAAAAGAGATATCAATATGGATTTTTTTGTTTGTTTGTGAGGCCAAATGATCAAAACCTACAGCCTGCAATTCTGAGATGAAGCATTTTGGGGAGAATGGAAGTCCTGGCAGATGCTCTCAGCAGGTAGCCTTTGGTAAAGCCAATTAGTCAGAGGCTATTGCAGCTGCTCTATGAGACTCAACTGGATTGCAGAAAAAACAACAATAAATGTATTAATCCAAAATATATTCTAGTAAACGGCATGCACGCGTCCTCAGGTAATTAGAGCAACACCAGACTCAAAATTCTCATCATCCTTGCTTTTAAAACAACAACAACAACATACAAACAAACAAAGCCCACAACCTCGTTCTGAGAGGGGTATGTGTGTGTGTGTGTTTTACAGAGGGACAAACCTTTGGCAGTTTTACACAGATTAGGCAGAAAAGAGTGACAGAAGGAGAGAGAAGGAGAGTGAGCCTTAACCTGTTGTGGAGCTCTGTGTTTCTTTGTGTGTTTGATTATGTTTTTATATATGTTGGAAACTGCCCAGAGTGGCTGGGGCAACACAGTTAGGTGGGCAGGGTATACTACTACTACTACTACTACTACTAATATTAGATGTCCCTGTTTTCATCGAAGAAATATTGGAGGGTATGGTATCGGGTAGTGTGGGAGCAGCTCTGCGTATTCCTGGCCCTACACAGTTCCCATTAAAAGAGAGTCTTCCCCCTTTCCTCCAGGAGGAGGAATTCTTCACACACATCCCCACTGCAAGGAATAGGGAAGCCTAGCTTGCTGGGAGGTCTGCAGAGGCATCAAAGCAACTCTGGAGATCAAAGAGCGCAACTTTCAAGTAAACTGTACATTTGAATATGCACTAACATGGTGGTTCATGAACTTTGCTGAAGTCAAGGTTTGCTGCAGAGGTGACTTGGTTCTTGCCTTCAGATTCCGGAAGTGGAAAAGATCTCAGGGGTACCTGTCAAAAGGCTCAGCGGCAAACCTCTGAAGTTGCAAGGCACACAACCCCTGTGCCGAAACATTTGTCAGCATTTTTAAAAAGGTGACACTGAGTGACAGTGTCTCTTGGAGAGGCTGAACATTAAATCCAGCTCTCTCAGTTCATTTGCCTTTTGGTGCTTATGAACCACCAGTAAAGCGGGAGACAGCCTTGCCTTGGTGGTTTATTATATTGATGGAGAAGGCTGGGTCTTCTGGGTGAGGTGTTTTAATTCCTCTGCAGCCTTTGGAAAAATTGCTGACTTTTGCCTCCACGTGCGTTAAAAGTCCTTTTCTGCTCAGCAAATGCATTGCAGCAAATAGCATTTTCTGGCACGGAGAACGGGTCGTGCAATCTTTAAGGCAGAACATTACTTTATTACACATGTTAAGGCTTTTACTCCGTTTTAACTTTTATGAGCATGACAAAGAACGGAGAACCGGCGTTTAAATGAAGGCTCCTTTTATCCCCAGTCAACTTCACACAATTCGCAAAATGTCACTGAGATATTTACTTCCAATGTGCCCAATCCCTTTAAGCTGTTCTGGGACTATTACATTTGGGGGGGCGGGAATTGTGGAGGGAGGACCCCTGTGGTATCCCAATACTACTAACATTTCTTAACATATTAGTGGCTTGCTTGGGACATGAGAGCTTTCTGAAGCCAAATGAGACATGATGGAAGAAGCCCCTTTTATTTAAGGCTGGGTTTACCCATTCACACAAATCTTAGAATTGTAGAGTTGGAAGGGACCACAGAGGTCATCGAGTCCAACCCCCTGCAATGCAGGAATCTTTCTGCCAGTGTCTGTATGTGGCCCTTCTCTTGCAGTCAACCTGGAAGCTGAAGCACGATTGCTGACAGGTGTGAGGCCTTGTCACCATGTAACACCTGCGTGCAGAGATCTGAACGGGCTGCTGATTTGCTACTGGGCTGGCTTCGAGGTGTTGCTATTAGTACAGTGGAACCTCTACTCACGGCCACAATCTGTTCCGGAGGCCCGTCCAAAAGTTGAAATGGGTTGCTGGGAGAGGCACCGTTGTGCGCAGGCGGCGATCGCCCGCTTCTGCGCATGTGCGAACGGTGATTGCCCACTTCTGCGCATGTGTGAACGGCGGCAAACCTGCCAGTTACTTCCGGGTTTGCCATGGGTGTTGGGCAAAAAGGACATGAGCGGATGCGGATGTAAGAAGAGGTTTGTAAGAAGACTGTACAGTGGTACCTTGGAAGTCGAACAGAACCCGTTCCGGAAGTCTGTTTGACTTCCAAAATGTTCGGAAACCAAAGCGCGGCTTCTGATTGGTGTTCAAGATCCAAGGTACAACTGTACAGTGGTACTTCAGGTTAAGAACTTAATTCATTCTGGAGGTCCGTTCTTAACCTGAAACTGTTCTTAACCTGAGGTACCACTTTAGCTAATGGGGCTTCCCGCTGCCACCGCACCACCGCCGGGCGATTTCTGTTCTCACCCTGAAGCAAAGTTCTTAACCTGAGGTACTATTTCTGGGTTAGTGGAGTCTGTAACCTGAAGCGTCTGTAACCTGAGGTACCACTGTATTGTTATGAGTTTGGGGCAGGCCAGGCTGCATGCTCGAGCCACATTCTAATTGTTGGAATAGCCAGGCTAGCTTCCTGGTGAGCTAATGGCCCTCTAAGTATGGTCCATTAAAGTAACAAAGGAAGTGGCTCTGTGCCAGATGAAAAATACAGACAGCAAAAAGACACCATAGCCTCCACTGTCCTTCATTCCAAAGGAAGCATGAACCCTGCATAAGCTGGCACGGCTCAGAGATTGGGGTGGCGTGCAACAGTATATAAAACCCTGAACAACGTGGGACCAGTTTACCTATGAGATTGCCATACCCCGCATGTGCTCACTTGACCGCTTCAGTTGGTGGATTTGGCATTACTACATGTGCCACATATTACAGACCCTCCGAGTGCCCCTATTTCCCAGGGACAGTCCTTGATTTAGAGAAGCCGTCTCAGTTTCTGATTTGATCCTGGAATGTCCCGCTTTTCCTTAGGATGTCCCTGTTTTCACTGGAGAAATGCTGGAGTGTATGGAGTTGTGCGACTTGCGAGTAAAGGAGAAAAGTAACAATACAACCTTCAGAAGACATCTGAAGGCAGCCCTGTATAAAGGTAAAGGGACCCCTGACCATTAGGTCCAGTCGTGGCCGACTCTGGGGTTGCGGCGCTCATCTCACTTTATTGGCCGAGAGAGCCGGCGTACAGCTTCCAGGTCATGTGGCCAGCATGACTAAGCCACTTCTGGCGAACCAGAGCAGCGCACGGAAACGCCGTTTACCTTCCCGCCAGAGCGGTACCTATTTATCTACTTGCACTTTGACGTGCTTTTGAACTGCTAGGTGGGCGGGAGCAGGGACCGAGCAACAGGAGCTCACCCCGTTGCGCGGATTTGAACCACCAACCTTCTGATCGGCAAGCCCTAGGCTCTGTGGTTTAACCCACAGCGCCACCCACGTCCCTTAGGTTTTCTTTAAGACGTCCCTATTTTCATCGGAGAAATGTTGGAGGGTATGACGTTTTGAGACACACCCCTGAGCCAGGGAGATAAGTAACTATACAACTTGTAGAAGACATCTGAAGGATAGGGAATTTTAAAAAAATGTTTCACATTTTACTATGTTTTTACATATATTGGAAGCCCGTCGCGGGGATTCGAACCGCCGACCTCCTGATCGGCAAGTCCTAGGCTCCATGGTTTAACCCACAGCGCAACCCGCGTCCCTAGCCCTGTATAGGGAATTGTGGTTTGTTTGTTTTTAAAAAAAACAGTTTAATTATGTTTTTATATATGTTAGAAGCTGTCCAGAGTGGCTGGGGCAACCCAGTAAGATGTGGGGGGTATAAATAGTAAAATTATCATTGTGGAATGGGACGTCCCTATTTTTCATCAGAGAAATGTTGGGAGGGTATGATATTACTCATTCCACCTTTGTAAGAATTTGATCATTTAGTGTGGTAGCACTTTGGGAACTCCCTGCCTATTGAGATTCAGCAAATGCCTTCCCTGCACTCTTTTTGGCACCTGCTAAAAACGTTCTTGTATAGGCAAGCCTACCAAGATGCTTAAAACATTGGGTTGTTTTTAAATCTGTTTTCTTTGATTTAACTTTTGTAAGTTTTAAAGTAGGGTTGTACATTTTTCCTTGATTTTATGGCTTTATCCTTTTGTAAACAGCTTTGAGGTTTGTTTGTTTTTTTAAAAAGTCAGTGTGGTTTGGGATACCCCCAGAAGGCAAGGAGAGTCAAATCCTCATTTGCCCAAT